TGGTAGGGCTGGGGGGGAGCAGGGGGTTGCAGGTTGGGAATTAGGGACACCAGCAGGGCCGGGGGGGTGGGGTACAGTGGGTAAGGAGTGAGAGGCAGCAGCAGGGCTTGGGGGCTGTGGCTTGGGAGTGAGGGGCAGAGGTATGGCATGGGAATATCACTGCCCCTCCCCACACAATCATATACCCCTTCCCCCTCTCCTCCCTCTCCCACCTCCTCCCCACCCCCCATAGGTGTCCTCCTTTTCAATACTAGAAATATGGTAACCCTACACTGCCAACCATAAGGGATAAGTCTTAAGCAGAATCTAAGAGTAGAGGAAAGCTAAGGTCAGATGTTATCTACAACAGGACATTGTTCCTGTTGTATTCCAAATCATCCTGTTTTTAAAACCCATTGTTGTCTTTCTGTTTCTGAATGAAGAATGGACTGCAAAAAGTCCTGTTTTTCAGTTCACTGGTAGAAATACACATCAGTCATTTGTCGCCACAATTCTATTAGAGCTAGGGTGGTGCACAGTCAGGAGGAGCAGGATTCTAAGCCAGCGGGGAGGGGGGGGGAGGTGGTCTTTTTGTGGTGGCCCCACCCCTTGCTGCTCATTGGCCAAGGCAGTGGGTGGCCCCACCCCTCACAACTGATTGGCCAAAGGGGAGGCAGTGGTCCCCCCCCTCATGAAGGGGATGTCATGTATTTTGGGGAAGCATCAGTGGCTATTCTAACTGTAGATCCTGAGAAACTGATTGCTATTAAGAAAATGTTAATCAAAAGAGGTAAAGAAAATCCAGCAATTTAAAGGGATGATAAACTTTTTAGATCCTGCACACACCAGTCAGAAGCCTCTGAGCCCCTGAAGCAGTTAGCATACCAAGATGCAGCCTTGCAACGGTCAAAAATCCAAGAACAGGTACTTGGCATGCTCCAGGATAAAGGTGGAGCTAAAAACCTAAGAAACTGTGTAGTAGAGAGGAAACCAGCATATCCGGATAGGTAAACCCAGGACCAGAAATAATCTCAGACATCAGCTGGTCTGATATAGGTGAATCACAAAAAAGAAGGCATGTGAACAATGCAAAGGACCAACAAGACACCTCTCAACAGAATAAAGGCAATGGGATAGACAGGATAGAAACAAATCCCCCACCAACAATAATTGCGATTGGTTCAAAGACCAGCATTCCTGAAGGACTCAGAAGTCTAGCAGGCAATCATGGGTTGGCAGTAAACTACATAGGTTAATTTATATACTTACCACCTCTAAACCTAGGAAGTCATCAAATGCTTGCACAAAAGACACAACAGCAACCAAAGAGATGAAAAAGAAAGATGTAGCTAAATTGTATTCCGTGATAGGAGCACTAGTCACAGAAGAGAATATTTTGGAAAAGGCCCCAGGGACCCTGCTTGCACATAGTTCGAATGCTAGCTGCAGTTTTTGAAACCACATTTAGCATTAGAGACACAAAATTCTTCTTGTTATTATTCTGCATGTGGTACATGAAATCTGGGAGATGTTCTTTAAAATAATATGCAAATATAAATAATATTAAATTTGAGGTTTGTCCCCCTCCTCATCTATTGAGGGGATTTTTATTGATACAGTCCATGGTTAGGGATAGGTTTTTTTGTTACAGCAGAAAAAATATTGACTCTTTCCTGTTATCTCTTTCTGTATCTAGCATATGGCATACTGGATGCAGTCTAACCTCTATCTGTAATAGATGCATGAATTTTTTTCCCACCATTTTGAACACTTGAAGCCTAATGCAAAGCCTGCTATCACTAGGAGACTTTCCATTGATACATTGGTCCACAGATTTTAAGGGCTGTCGTGAAGAGCTTGGTTAGGTAGTCTGACTTCTGGAATAACACAGACTGTAGGATTTTCAAAAATAATTCTTGCACAACCCAATATGCTGGGGTGGAATTACAGCATCTCTTTTAGAAAGACATCAAGCCATGACTGAAAGATTTCTATGGGTTTTGGATCAAGCCTTTAGATATCACAAATAATGGACCAAATTATTCACAATGAAGAGAAATACATTTTAAGATACATCAAATACAAAGAACAATCAAATCCAGAAACCATGAACTATGGTGTTTGTTTATAAAGATTTCCAAGTGGAAAATAAAGAGCCAGTTGCAGGATGTCATTCTTTAAGTGGTGGGATTCCCCAGTTCTTTTGCCTACAGAGCTCCAGAAAAGATAAATGTATTTTATTGGTGTTGCAGGTAAAAGTTTTTTTATAAGAAATTTTCCTTTGAAAGTGTAGTTCACATGGCTTTATTTAGAAAACACACTTCAAATTCAGTTCTTCCCTTCAGTTGTGAATAATATACAGAATTACTCACATAGTGAGCTATATTCATGACAGAGGCCTTGAAATAATTTTAGCTAGGCACTTGGATCCTAATGTTATTCCATATTCCAAAACTGTAATGGGATCCGTGACCCAAACCATAATAATAACGATGGGGAAAAACATTGAAATAGTACAAAAAACAATCCTAAAAGTGTCAAATATGGCTATGGGTGTGCAGTATTTTTTTAATTACAGAGTCCAGGGCCTTATTCCTCTCATATTTATGCCGTTTCTGATTAGGAGTGATTCCATAGAGATCAATGAGGTTATAGAGTTAGAACAGCAGTACTTCAGTACTAGAAAAAACTCATAGAATTATGTGAATATCATAGAGGACATTTTTGGAAACCCTGTAGAATTAACTGAGATGTGAGTGATTAAAGTCTTACAAGCAGAAAACATTGAAGAGAACCAACTTTTCCAGAAGAAGATTCTGCAAGTTATCCAAAGATCTTCAAGCCAACACAATGAAAAGTTTTGACAGAAGATACAGCAAATTTTCAAAAACTGAAATAATAGTCAGGCTCCTAATTCCCAATCACTTCCAGCTGAATTTTCATCGGTGTCTTTGAAAATCTACCTCTGGATGTAAACGATGACTTCATGCTGTATGTGGTACTCACTCAGTGGCTGTACTTGTATAGAAAAGCAAAAGAGGTTTTTAGCTTTTTTAATTCATATCAGGCTGCTGGATTTCTTGCCAATCGTAAGTGTCTTAGGTAAAGTAACAGTCTGCATGTGCAGATTTGAAGAAAGTCTTGTGTGTGCAATACACGGTGAGAAGTGTAAACCTCTTGGTTCATGCACTAAGGGCCAATCTGGCACAGTATAAGGAAACAGTGTCACTTCCAGAGAGGACAATGGCTTGACAATCAGGAGACTTGGGTTCTATTTCCATAAAGCCCATGCAAATTGGAGCAAATTATTTCATTTTGGTTTTCTCTCTCATTTTTGTCTAGTTAGATTCGACTCTCCTTATGCCAGCAATTGTCTCATACCAAGTGGATGTACTGTGTCTAATGCAATAGTCCTTGATCTCACCTGGGGCTTCTTTGTATTCCCGTTGTACATATAATACAATTAAATAAAATTTTCAGTATCACTGGTCACAAATAGCTCTTACTGCCTTTAGTGGAAATTTTACCAACTTCAGTGGGAATTATTTATATTCACAGTGGCAAAATAGGTCCCCAGGATGAAAATGTGTCTAATCTATTTGAATCTAAACTTTCTTCTCTGGGATTTTCTTTAATTGATGGGGTAATGATGCACATATTATGATAGGTGGGGAATTTGTATTTTGCAAATAGCCTTTTTTTGACAGCTGTTTTTGAAGCCAACAAGAGAACAAGCTGTAGCCACCATTTCATGAAAGGTCTGTGAGCAAGCCAGCTGTTTTTCACTTCTCATTTTGTCACCCGTTTTTTTGAAAACTGCAAACCATCTAACTATGTATTAGCACATGGTATCACATCAGTCCTTTGGGACTCCAGCCACTGTCTGTTTGACTAGTAGGGAAGACACAGAATAGTCTGAAGAGCTGCCAAGGGGTGTTGTGGAGCCATTTTGTATCTGACACCTGTTCAGAGGAGCCTTGGGGAAAGCCCCTGTACTACCCTGGCAATGTTGCTGTTACTGAGCAGTTGTCATAATAATAATTAGTTCGCTTACATATCTTTTCACGATATACTCCAAGCACTAAAGAGACATTAAGGACCAACTTGTGAGATGCTCATGAACTCAAAAGTTCAGACCATAAAGAAAGCTTCTCCCCATTACCTGGCATGGGCAACTCAGAGTATTAATCATTGTTGTACAATGCATTGCATGCATCAGCCATGCAGACCAAGCAACCCTATGGGAGACTGTGCCTTCTAAGTCTAAGTTTTTTGGGTGCTACCCTGATAGCAGCATAGCTTCACATCATTTTCTCAGTTCAGTTACGTAACTCAACATAAACACAGTACTGCTACTGTGGGTCTCAGGCAGCTAATGGGTTTTTTGCTTGATGGAAAAGAAAATTTTGCACAGAGCAGATTCAGTCACGGAATCTGGATACGAAACACGCAGGGTATGACAGTACGGCACAGCTCTGCGGTAGTCACATTGAAAGAGGATTCAGGATCAAAGTTGTGCACCCCATCTACTAAATGAAGTCCCAAGTTCAGATTTACTCTGACATTTTTCTCTTATCAAGAGCAGACAACCCTGAAGTCAGAGTTTCTCACAGTCAACTGCAAGTCACAGGTGCTTAGTGAAAATGCAAGCCTCTACTGCAGGGAAGTGAAACAAAAGCAAATGTGAAGCTGTCCTCAAATCAAAATAATAGTTAATACCATATTGCTATATTGTTATTCCAGCTATCTCACCACAAGACCAATAAGTAGCCATTCCCATGCTCCCTCCCTTCTTCCCCCATTAACAACTCCAACTGGCACACCAAACAGCTGCTTCATTACCTTTCTCCCTATGAGCAAATGGGGTTAATCCCCTGTGGAAGCCTGCATGCTTCTGCCAGACACACTATTCTGGAGATACGCACAGAGCACTTGCTGCTTCTATTACAGAAGTGGCAGCACCAGAAATGCTGTTCAAGCAGCCTCTGCAGCCAGCACCTGTTTTTAGCAACTTCCAGCAAGAGCCTGGATACCTTCTCTGAGAACCTGGGTCTTCCTCCAGACCAGTTACATTATAATTCAAGGGTTGTAAAAATGCTAAGTTGTATCTACTGTTCTCAAAAACCTGGGCTTTAGTGTAGGTCTGGAGGGAGAAAAACAAAAGGCTTGGAGCTTCCTAAACCTGGGACTGGTCAAGGGGCAAAAATCTTTCTAAATGCAATTTAAATGTAGCCTAGGAGATGTTCTGCCCAGCCCTTAGTGGTCCTCTGTGGTACAGATCACTAGACTGTAGTCTATTTCTGCATAGGATCCAGCCCCAGGCTGGCTTTGGCACAGAGGCAGCTATACCAACTTTATAGCTGATGATCAGGATATCCTAGGGCAGGGGTGGGCATAATGCGGCCCGGGGGTTGGATGCAGCCCACAAGGCCATTCTATCTGGCCCACGAGGCCCCTAAAAAATTTAGAAAATTAATATTAATCTGCCCTGGGCTGCCTGTCAAGTGGTCCTTGGTGGCTTGCCGAAACTCGGTCAGCGGCCCTATACCCAAAATAATTGCCCACCCCTGCCCTAGGGAGACAAGATGCTGGTTCTACTGCTCTCTCGGCTTAAAGGGCCCTTGATGGGACTCAATACGTGGCCCATGGTTCCAACCATTCTGAAATTAAAGTCATTACCTTGGGATTCCTTTAAACTAACAGTAAGTAAAACCCTCCAATACAGTACACAGTATGACTAAACACATGGCTGAGGAGCAAGGTTTTCAGCCCTTCAGCCTGTATTAGTTCATAGGAGAACTAAACTATAGCCACTGTATATGGTGGCCACATGGGAAAAAGGAAAGGTTATATGGCCTATTCTGTCCTATGGGTGGAATCAATGGTCATACACAAGCATCCCTTCATCCCAGTCATAATTCTCCCACCTGTATTCTCATTAGAATTCAGCTTTGAAGCCCATCTCTTGGCTCATCTAATGGTTGAAAGACCCATTGTACCAACCATCCATTTTCTAGTCTGGTGCTCATTCCCCCATTCCCCCTGCCCCCCATGCTACGGGAAAGGAGCACTTCTGGTTCTCTTATTTGGTTCAAGGCAATCTTCATGGTATCCTAATGGTCTGCATACCGTAGACATGTTCCACACTACAAACTCTCTGCTCTTTCATGGACCTAAGGCACTGGTAGTGCCCTTTGTCTCTCCTTGCTCTCTTCCTGTAGCTCATCATAGTTTTGGCACCTTTGGGTGTCCTATATTAACTGTCTTAAGTTTGTTACAGGGTATGGAGGGGAGGGTTGTATCATGTGGTATGCAACGGGCCAGAGC